CATGAATCTAGCCATTTATTTACCATATTTGATTGGAAAACATCTCTGAAACTCTGAAAAAGTCATATTGCTAGCTTACCATAAAAGGCCAATTCGACCGATTGGTTGAGCATATTTTCAAAAAAATAATTACACCTTTGTTAAAACTTTTTTTGTGCATCAAGTTATCTAATTATGTTCAGTCAGTGCCCTGCCACTAAAATATGTCTCCAATGATATGGTTACCTGACAAAAGTTGACCAACTTCCTCAGTGGAAGCTAGCTGAAGGGCTTTCTGTTCGAACCACAGTGACATCTAGAGGTTGTTTTGTGCATAACATGTCAACCAAAGGGTAGAGCTGGCTGAATCAGATAGAGTTCAACTTTTTTTTTTTTTTCAACAAGATATCAAGACACAAAATGAGCTCTACCAAATGGTGGTGCTGGCAGTTAAAGGGTTTTAATTATATTGTTGAGGCAGTTTGGGTTAATACTTAATTTGATAAAATAAGTTGTATTTTCTGTTTAAGCTGCTCTACGATTGAACTCCATCCTAACAACACTTAGAGAACAAGTCACGTTCAGTTTATCTAAAATTGATTTTGACTGCACTGTACAGTCCTCTGTCTTCAGTCGCTTTAACCTGCGGCTATCTTCATGTTTTATGTAATATGTATGTTTTATTTTATTAGCATTTCCAGTATTGTGACCCCCTTTGTTGCATGTTGAATGATTTCATTAACTTTTAAGTTCAATATGATTTGTTTTAAGGGTGACTTCACACCATTTTTCCAGGGAATACAGATAAAAACTGCCTCTAGTCTCTGCTAAATAAACTAAATAAATAACTACAAAAGTCCACACACGTGCCTGAAATGTGATTTTAGTGGCTGTGAAGGTGGACCTACTTGCTGCTGAGCTCATCGATGGTGGTGGTCATCTCGTTGTGCAGCTCCTCGTCAAACTTGCTCTTCTGGGATTTGTTCCTGCAGCGAAGAGCACAGAGACGGTTAAAGAAAGAAAGTGAATTACCAGGCGGACGGAGAGACACCAGATCAGGCCATGCAGGTTACTCAGGTCCAGGTTTAGCTGTTGCTTGAAAGGCATTAGTGAAAAAAGATGGGGTTAAATGGAGGGCGTGTGCAGGATGCAGGGGGCTGTGTGTTAGATGATCTCTGAGGGATTCAGCCGGAGTGTGTGTCTGCTCAGAAACCCCCTCCATCAGGAAGGAAGCACTCACACACACGCACAGACCCACAGCAGCCCATCAGGGTTAATAGGGAGCATGTCAGTCCACTAACAGAGGGCAAAGGGTTTCTCTGGAGATCAGCTGTTTCAGAACTGCTCAGGTTAGTGTTCGGACAGCAAGGCTCTCCGGAGAGACAGTAGTTCTCACCCTGAAGGGCAAAACTTCCTTTTTAGAGGTGTTGGACTCAGAGGAGGATTTGATGAAAGTTTTCTGTTATTTATGTGCTCTCTTTTTAAAAGTGGCAATAGACAAAAGTTTCCCCTGGCGCTTTCAAGGGACATTATTGACGTACCTAAGAAATTTATGTTTTTCTCAGTCTACTACTAGTGACACATTTTGGGACTTATTCAGACACACAGAATATGCAAGAAAAACATATTAAAAAGTGTTTGGTATTATCCGGTAGTTTACCTACATTTTGCAGTAGCTTGTTGCTCAGTTAACTACATTTATATTTGTTACTCAAGTAGTCAAATAACTACTGAAAACTACGAACAATTTTGGGACATCAAAGGAAAACATTTGGGTGTTAACGCCATTTGACAAAAACCCACACCCTTTGCTTGAATTATCATTATATTAGATTTTTTTTAAGTTTAGATATGAACTGTGAACAAGTGGGTATATCTTTTTTTTTAAATAAACTTTATTGAGGGCAGGGTTAGGGTTAACCCATTTGTATATGAAAAACATTATATTTAGTAACATTTAATTACCTATTTTCCCTTGGTAATCTGATAACAATTAGATGTATTTAGTCATATTATCACTTATAGCTAACCAATCTAAATCCTGATCCAACCATAACATTGAACAATCAAGTTAAAGCGAAAAATGCGTCTATTGCCACTTTAAATAAATGAATTAGTAATTTTAGAATCAACTCTCATCGATCATTAATTTCAAACTGCTTGAATCTTACTGATTGCTGGCGACTAATCTGCACTTTGAAACAATGATGGAAACTCCAAAGATGTATTCAGATTATGTCAAAGATGACAATCACAAAGTGGCTTTAGAGCGTGCATCCATTTGTTTTTGTCTTCAGGGGTCACAAGCCAAAGGGTTGAGAACTACTGAGGGAACAGTCCCTGCGGTCCCTGAAGGCCTCACTCACTTATAGCTGCTGAACGGAGCCGAGGGCAAGGAGAACGGTTCCTCTAGAGACTCCTCAAAGCTGTCCGGAGCCAACAGTGAAACAAAAACACAAATTCATCAAAACAGAGCCCAAAAAAAAGAAAAGACTGAAGCTTTGGAAAATCCATCTCCCACTCCAACCTCCCTCTACCTGCTCCCTCCTGCTGCCACCCTGGAGGGGCGGAGCTATAAAGGCCTCATGCAACTTCTGACAACCAATTGTTTGTCTGAGTAAATAATCAGTAAGTTTTCTTTTCCTTTGTATTCTATTTTCATAGCAGCTTGAGTAGTTTACCTCCCTACTTTCTGTACCGTTTAGATTGCATTTGGTTACTTTATTTCTACATTACATATCATTATGTAAAAAGATAACTGCTTTGCTGGATTATCATTTGAAGCACGAATATTAAGTTTGAACTAAGATGAACCAGAAAACAATTAAGACAAACGAGAATCAACAAATTACAATAAAAACAATGATCTGGAACTCCTGCCTCCATGTGCTCATCTTTAAATCCACTGCGTTGACTTTTTAATCCTTGAACCAACCACCCTCAATATACTTCGGAAGCCTTGAATTGGATTTGACGCCTTGTGGTTGCCTCCACCAACCGTTCCCGCTGCAGTTTACAGAAATGTCCTCATTAGACATCTGTGTGAAATGTTCATAATAACGGTACGTCCACACGGCAGCGTCGCGTGCTTCAACGGAGACGCTTCCCATTCACTTTGAATGGGGTGACGTCACGCTTTGCCGAACTGCATTTCTGGTTCCGTCGCTTTGCCTCCGTTGCTCGCTTCGAAAGTTAAGAAAAGTTCAACTTTTCAAGCGTCGACGGAAGCACCAGCCAATCAAATCATATGCCAGTACAAGCTCTAGCCAATCAAACCGCTGCTTGTGTGTCCGGGGCGGGAGATTCATGTGATCGGTTGTTGGTCGCACGCCAGACACGCCCACCGGCAAGCTTCAACGCGACGCTGTTGTGTGGACGTACCGTAAGTGTATTGATTCTTGGGCTTTTAACAAAAACATATATTGAAGGTAACAATGACTTTGACATTTAAATAAGGCTGCACATTGAAGCTAAACTTGATCACACTATGGACTAACCCAATATACAAAACAAAGTATGCAATATTTTGCAAAGGCACTATAATGCCACAAAAACAAAAAAAACTGACGGATGGTTTTCACGCCTCCACCAACCATTCACTTTGCAGTTTACAGAAATGTCCTCATTAGACAATATATTTTGTAAAGGCACTTTTGTAAAGGCACTTTTGTAAAGGCACTTAAAGCGTAAATCATTCCCTCCAATATCGCAATTTCAATATCAGTCATAACAATTGCAATTTATTTTTTTTTTTCAATATGATGCAGCTCTACATTTGACCTCAACGTTTGAATATGATCATCTTTGAGTCCAAGTGGATGTTTTCACCAAATTTGAAGAAATTCTTTCCAGGTATTCCCGAGATATCAAGATATTTACGAATATGGACAGAACTAAAAACAAAAAGCCTCTAGCCATGGCTTTCCAGGTGCAGAGGCTTAACAATTACAGGGCCACTTCTAGAGAAATGTAAAAAAAAAACATCCAAAAGCAGCAAATAATAGCATTTGTGTTACCTTGGGCTCAGGGCTACGGATAACAGCAACAAATATCACATTATTTTTGACCAAATACCTTGATATCAATAATAATGTTATTTATATAGTGCTTTTCCTGGTGCTCAGAGCACTTCAATTGATTTTGTGAAGATATTGACTATTGATGCCGGACGTAATCACAGTCAGTGATGTGGATATAATGCCTCTGTGGGTAGGACAAATACTACAAACTAGAAGAATTACACCACGACTGTGATTTAGCTATTCAATCCAGGAAAAGACAATATTCATGCCACATTTGGATGTCTACTCTCATATCACGATATTGATATAAAACTGATATATTGCCTAGTCCTACGTTCAACCACATACATACATAATAAACCCTGCTGTGTAACGTCCTCCAGCTTCACTGTTACCTCACACACTGGCTGCTGCCCACATGAATGAAATGAAACATTTCCGATGTAAAACAAGTTTCCTTTCTCACAGGGAGGAGGGATTATGCTTTGAGGCACACACACTTATCTTTTCTAATCACATAACTGCAGCACACACTGTTTGTGTAGATACTGATTAGTCCTTACACTTCAAATAGTCGTCCAAAGGACAATCGAACTTTAAGTACTGCAAACCAATTTGTCCATGCATAAGTTGATGAAGAGGGCTTCTGCCAAATCATATTAGGAGTTGGACAGTTATGCTTTTCTTTAAGACTTGGGGCAAAGGTAGAGCGTCATTTGCACATTCAAACATATTTCAGCAAACTTGTAACGTAAGAAGGCAACTAGGTTCAATGTTATGTTGACATTCAGACGTGTTTCCCCCCCCCCCTATTCACCAGTTCTGTTTTGCAAAGTGTTTTTGCAATATGTATTTTTCAAGGCTTCAAAACTAATTAGTTTCTCATACTTTTATATCTACATTTCAGTAGCACTGACGTACACCAAGCCTTCCAGTTTCATTTCTCTCTGTATTCTGAAGGTTTTGTTCTTATATCCTTCATAGCCTGATAGAACATTTCATTAAAAAAACTTTGACTTGGCTTTTGTGAGTATTTTGTGATTTATCTACAAAGAGATATCAAAAACATCCTCCATAAAACCTCGGACTGTAACATGTCTACAAAATGAAACAATTTGTTATGTTATCGTGGCTTTTACATCTCTGTTCTGGAAATGTAAACATCTTTTTAGAAGACCTTCCTTTTCAACAAAGCCTTTAGCTGGAGCTGGTTTCAGATTATTCCATATCCTGGTTCCTACATTTTGTGGTGTTTTATTTTATTGTTTAATTGTATTGTCTTTTCTTGTTGTATCTTGTCTTTCCATTATTATAAGTCCACTGAGGGAAACGTGTTTTACGTGATATTGGGCTATATACATAAACTTTGATGTGATTTGATTTAACAAAATTATACTTATTTTACATATTGAGACATAAAACGTCATAAAAACAAGGAAATACGGTCTTAATGGACGCAATCAACTAAGCATATCAGTTCAAATGTGTGTTACTTTAACCTGTAATGATGGATAACATGTATGAAAATATAAATATACAAGTTGTCTGACGTTCCTGCTCACCCATTATCTTTCCATCACAATATCTAAGCTCCCATGAGAAGCATACATCCTATATATTACACATAATGCCTGAAATATCCTCTCACATAGAAATGATAGTTAATGAAATGTGACGGAGCGATGAGATGATGCAGATTCAGGACAGTCCTGGCAGGAGAGTTGATGGAAATCATTTGAACACATTATTGAGTAACAGTGGTGTTAACATGGGCCGACTTCCAGCAAGAGTGTGTGTGTTATAGTTTGATAAGCAGGTAAATAATCAAAATGTGAATTCATTATTAGCAGCTATTGTTGCACGATATCTGCATGTATTTGGTTTCAGCAGATCAAATATGTCCAATAAATTGACGTGTGTTTGCAAACGTTTTTAAAGCAAGTGCAAAAAGGAAAATATGTCTGCGTTGTAAAGGTTTTTTTAAAGTGTCCGAAACAGCGTTAAAAATAAAGAAATACAAGGGAATTGCATTTCTGCGACATTGACATTGATTAGCAACTTTTAAAACGGGTCGAATTCTTTTAAGTAGGATGCATTAAAAACATTTAAATCGTGTTACATTAAAATAAATATGGCATGTTTCACAGAACATGTTCGCTCAGTTGAAGACGTTTTCTTATTTCTCCTGGTGAATGTGAACGTTTTTGAAAAGCCTTGTATTTTTATGTCTAAATTGCAAGATATTGATGTTGGCAAAAATCCAATAAAGTGTCGTTCTTACCTCTCAGTGATCCTGGAGATGGTAGACCGTAGAGGGATGTCCTGGAAAAAAACACATGAATAATAAGAATAAAGATGAATGTAAGTGTTAAATCTGAACACATTGAAATTCAACCTAACTTTTTCACTAGAGAACTATAGTTATCATTTCTATATTTGATTCACTAATGCCCCTTTCACACCAACGTGGTTCCAGGGCCGGTTCGGAGCTGGAGCTTGAAAAGCACCTGTTTTTCCTGTTCACACCGCAGCGGAGCCGCCTCTAAGCTCCGGAATCCGGTCTAGAAAGCAAGCGCTGCATACGTCACGCTTACGTCGGAGGTAGGGGCGGGATCAACCTCTAACAACAACAAAAAGCCCACGTTTTATCCAGTTTGTACACCACGATGGAAAACCTAAAACTTAACAAGCGGCAGTGGTCCACTGAAGAGACCGAAGAGGTACAGAGGAAGCTGGAGGGGAGCACGCGGTCCAAAGAACTTTTGAATGTAGCATGTAACGACTGTAAAGTTGGTATTAAAGTCGTCCCATTTCTTCCATTTCGTTGCGACAGAGCAAAACCAAAACGAGTAGCGCTTCAATACAATCGGCCTTTGTGGTTGTTGTCGATGTGAGGGGGTTCCGCGCGGTTTGGCTTTATGAAGCAGGCACGCAAACGGTTACGTCATGACGCAAAACGATGACGCAATGACGTAGCACCAGTCGGGCTCTGAGCGGTGTGAACAGAGCGGGAGCTGAACCGAAGAACCGGTTCCGAACCAGAAAAGCTCTAGCACGGAGCTAGAACGGGAAAAGCCTTGGTGTGAAAGGGGCATTATTGCTGCTACATAACTGTTAGGGAAATAATTTGCTTAGGTATTCAACCTTTGACACAGTTCATCATTTTCTCTTCTCACTGTCTCTTTTCCCATGGCATGGGTCTACGGCCTTGGGTATCGCTGCTATCTCTCTTAAGGAGGGCCAGCTTGGGCACATTGTTGTTGCCAGTCTATGACCGAGCACAAACCGCCATGAGGTAGTTTACTGTTCAGGGACGAAGGTTCCCTGGCGCACATTCTTTCCTATGGACGAGAGCTCTAGTTAGATTCAGGGTCCATAATTGTTTAGTCTCGCTGATAAAGAATGTTGATTATTACACTCCGAACTAGTTAAAACCTCGAGCTGCAGAAAGAGTTCTTCAAAATTGGTTTGGCAACCGCTGTGTCAACTCGTGACACACCACCTGTCTTGGCAACTCTCCGGCCGAAACTCTGACATCAAAGCTCCAACTCTCCTCGTGTCTCTCTGAGTCCTGACTCTCCATTGCTACAGAAGTTTCCCTTACAATACCCATCTTCACTACTGTATATTGTATATTTCTAGGAGTTAATGGTGTTTTATGTGTATTGTAAACACCTTTGCTGTACTTGCAGAAGTGAAAGACAAGACCTGTACTTTAATCTGTTTTATAATTGTTTGTGTGATAGAGATTATGCAATGTTTTTTAGTGTTGATTGTTATGTACCTACTGTACCTAAGGACAGCAGATGGAAATTAGCTATTAGTTTTAATCTGGCTCTTCTCTTGTCTGAGATGAATGTATTTGTATGCATGGTCCTTTTTCAAATAAATACAATAAGGAAAACACAAAGTCAATCTAATCCAAACTTATCTAATTAAATCTCCAGAACTAAGAAGCTAATGTTAGGCTTTAAAGGAAACGATCACACGACTCCCCTCTCCACTGCTAGCTAAAGGCGGCTAATGTGATGATGTTGAGTCGTGTCATTCAGTCACTTCCTAGCAAACACAGTTTTAAAGCTACAGGATGTTTACTGATGTATGTTAATGTCGTAGAATACACGTGAAAATCTCATAAACCTGCGTTAACCACAGACCCTTATTTCAGGCTCTCATAGAACTCATTCCTTCGTCATTCGATTCTGTGCATTTAGCAAGCATTCATCAGAAGATTATAAGAATCAATTTGAAACAATATAGCAAATAATTAACGTGGCAACATCATGGATTGTTTAACTCAGGAGAAGGTAAGTAATATAGTAAATAAAGCCATCTAATAATGTCTGTCTTCTCCCCTTCAGGGCTGGAAAAAGCACACACATCCTTTACTCAAGTAGAAGTACAGATACCCGTGTTTAAAAATACTCTGGTGAAAGTAGAAGTACTGACTAAACTTCTTAAAGTCAAAGTAAAGAAGTATGGGCTTTGAAATGTACTTCAGTAAAAAGTACCCATAACTAGCAGCTGTTTTAAAGAGTACCTGACCTCCCTTTATATTAATAGAACAATAATGTCATTGTTAGCTAATGAATGTTTCCATGCTGAACAACGGCAACATGACGACGTTTTCATTGGTCCCTCTTCTTTAGAGAAGACCAGGAAATGATGGATACACGGATCGTGTTCAAATCAATAGGCACGCAATGACTCTAAATAATAATGATCACGCCACCAAACACACATTCAGACTAAAGGAACCAGCCTGTTTGGAAAATGAGAGAAGTAGAAAGTACAGGTATTTGTGTTCAACATGTAAGAAGTAGAAAGTACAGGTATTTGTGTTCAAAGTGTAAGAAGTAGAAAGTACAGGTATTTGGGTTCAAAATTTAAGAAGTAGAAAGTACAGGTATTTGGGTTCAACATGTAAGAAGTAGAAAGTACAGGTATTTGAGTTCAACATGTAAGAAGTAGAAAGTACAGGTATTTGTGTTCAAAATGTAAGAAGTAGAAAGTACAGGTATTTGTGTTCAAAATGTAAGAAGTAGAAAGTAAAAGTCGCCAGAAAAATAAGTAGTGGAGTAAAGTACTGATACCAGAAAAATGTACTGAAGTACAGTAACAAAGTATTTGTACTCCACTACTCCCCACCTCTGCTCAC